ACCTTTTGAAATTGAGTCAGAAAATATAAATTTTATAGGATAGCGGAAAATACCTATAATTTTTTTGTAGGCCTTTGTAAATCGTGGAAATAGTTTATATTTTATTTCTACCTTATTAAGGAAAATGGTACCTATTATTAATAACGGTTGTTTCTGAAACATTACTAAAATTTTCGAAATTTTGTTTTTCTACAAAATAATAAACTATACTATTTGGAAAAAAATTTATTTCTCTTATAATTTTATAAAAAATAACAGGGGAATATTTACATTTCTTGATCTATTAAACAAAACGATAAATTATCTCGACGAATGACACCATGTTCTAGTACGGAAGCTAGCTTTACATTTTTGTTGGTGGTTTCATGGGTTTCATATCAATTTTTTGTAATTGTAGTTTACACGTACATATACCTCTTAACACTTGTTTGCTTTATTAAAAAAGTGTGTTGTTGTGATTTACGTCGAAATAAGTCAAAAACAACTTGAAACCCCATATAAAATCAAAAAGGAGAAACGGAAAAAAATTGAGCCTGTAAATGAACACAACTCAGAAACAAAAATAGCTATCTAATAATAAAAAATAAAATTTGATTCTCGTGCAGCTTCATCTATATCATTAACTGTTTTTGGTTTTTTAATGGTTTTTCTTGGTGATGAAAATTCCGATATCTCACGGTTATCGATTCTTTTTTCTCTCCAGAAATGCGGACGATAGTGTTTTTAGATACTCCTGTGGCTGCAGCAACACGATCATTTACATTTTTAAATGGTATTGAAGGTGAATTAAAGTTTCCTTCTCTTCTCATAAACTTTATAACATTGGCTATTATTTCGCGAGATTGACTGTTAATCACGCGGCCTCTTAATTTGCTATTAAACTCCATACTTAGGTTCTATTAAACTGTAATGAGCAAAAAACACAAACGAAAATAAAAGAAATGTTTTAGCGAAATTTACATCTGACATTTACGTCTGAATGAAATAGTGAAATACTTGATGCGCAGAGTGTACTTTCATTGCGTAAATCCGTCGGGATGCCTGTCAGTAGTGCTTTCTCTGTCTAGCCGTCGAAAGCCTCTAGAAATTTGATGAACTGTACTTTACAATTTTTTTGATTATCGACTAATATATATCTGATTTGGTTTTAGTTGAATCTGGTAAACGATAATTTATAATTTATCAATAACAAACGCTACAAAAAATGATTCTGGAATAAATTGCACAACACCAAGGATTGATTCCTTGCCATCTATACCACCAGCTCAAAGTAAGCAATATTTTAGTTCCACTGTCTATTGTATCAGTAATTTTTTTTATTTCTATTTTTTTATTATTATTTGTATACTAATTTATATATTAACTAATTTTATATTTTATAATTTTTAAAGATGTTTCTAATATTTTATAAAAATTGTTTAAATTAATTTTTGTTCGTTCTTAGGTTTTATAGAGACAAATTCTCAAACCCGTTTAATGTTTTATCTACCAGCTTTAATGATGTTTTATGTATATGTACTTTGTTACTCACAGTTTTAGACTGTTTCTGTGATTGTTCTCTATTGTGTATTCTCCTTTTTTAATTGTTTTTATATTAGTGTATCATTATCTGAATAAACATTATTATTACATTATTATTATTATAAAGTTTGGCAAAGAAATTTCCAATATAACAAATCTATTAAATGATTGTAGCTTATCTGAGATACATATTCCCTTACATGCAGTTTATCAGCGTTCTGCCCTCACAAGATCCTCGTCCACATAAGGATCGTTTTCTAACATAAAATCCAGCACTATTGTCTTGAAAAAAATTGAATTACTGCGTAATAAACCACCACCAACTAATTTGTGGAATTATGTTGCACTTGGGTAACGTTATCCTGAAAGAGGTTAGAAAAAACTGTAAATTTGATTGTAATCAGGTTTACATGAAACTATGTTACAAACAACAGTCACTGTTTCTAGCTTATAGGAGAGGTATGTATGCCTGTTCTTGTTATATAAACGTCTAAATAGCATAATAGTAGCTGTGATTGGCCAGTTCTGGACCGGAAGTAATGGGAAGTAATTAGTAATTAATTATCCTAAGTACACACCTCCACCCTTAGAGCAATTAGTAAATACCTTCCAATTACTCTGCACATCACGCACACGGTGTAATTGTTAAAATATGATTTAGTATCATTACTTCTATGTGAACACGGCCTTAGTTATTTTAGTTATATTTAGTTTTTGTTGATTGGTACTACTGTACGTCAGAATATTGACTGATGTCAAAATACGTGTTTCCGGTAAGACAATGGTCATTGTTGGTTGTTGTATTTGTTGTAAACCGTACATAGTTTGAATAAAGAAAATCAAAGGTTAATTGGAGTATTATTTAAATAATAAAGTTTATAAATTTATAACAGTAATGAATATAATTGTATAGTATAATGAGTGTAATTACCTCATATACATTGAGTTGTAAGTACCTTGAGTATTAACTATGTTAAAGGCAATAAAGTATCATATAATTGACTTTTATTTTTGATAAAAATGTGATCTAAACATGTGTTTTTGTTTTTTTGAACTCTAGTTGGTGTATTACTTGTTGAAACAGCCAAATTAACTCATTATATCAAGGTAAGTATTCGAGTCTTGAGTATTTCATAATATATCTATGTTCATGTCTCCTATACAGATACTATAATCATAGTTATTTTTGCTATCTTGAGTTAAGAAAGTAATTATCTCATTTATAAAATTAGTTATCAGTAGAAGGTGATCTGTAAATAGTATTTATTTTAAAAATATGTTTTCCATAGTTTATTTTCACCTGTTGTTCACCTATTATAAAATCTCACATCTACATTAAATCCTTAGGCTGGCTCACGAACTAGGAGGTGCCTATCATCTCAGGAGGATGCACAATGGGCCTAATGAGGCCTAAGTGCCGTAAGGGTAACTCACCCTACACACGTTACAGAATGCTACCTGTTGTGATGAACCTAACTATTTTAAATTATTTTTAAACGGAATATTAACTATAAACCGTCCCGATTCATTTCGTTTTGTGGTTTTTTCAAAATAATCTACGCAATATTTTTCTGCTTCTGTTAAATTATTATTTTTAGCAGATATTTCCTCAATTTCCCAAAATTTAGTAACGATCTTGTCAGTTAACCCATTTATCATTAATTTCTTGCAAAACATGAAAACACGAACTATTTAACTCTCCTAAATTTAAATTCAATTCTCCGGCCACAATTCACCCGAATTTACTATTTTGCAATACGGGCATATTTTCTCTTATATGTTGTTGACCTTCAGAGATACATGACCAAAATATACTCTAACCCAATAACATGTCGATGTCATTTGAAATATTAAAATTAGGATCAGCCAATTGTATATTATCGGGAATAAATAATGTTTCTTTTTTAAACGTAATTGTGGGAATTTTACCGGTTATTTCCGGTAGAACTAAACAATTTATCTCTGCACTATAATCACTATAAATTGAATTTATAACAACTATCACCTGATTTTTAGTTTAACGTTTGACTTTTTCCAATACTGCTTATTATGTGATCTACCTTTTGTAAGAGGGTAAAAAAAGAGGAAGAGAGAAAGAAAGAGAGAAAGAGAGAGATATGTTTAAATAAAGATAAACTTTAATCTAGTAAACAAAGGAAAAAAGACAAATTAATAAATGTTTATATAATTAAGGACTTCTCTTGTCTTGATCAAAACTGCCAATGTCAAAATCTGACAATGAGGAGAATTATGACATCAAATTACCAAACCAAAAACCAAACCACTACGTGAATTGTGAATAAATATATTTCAGTAAAAATACAGCCGAGTTTGTAGAAAGGACAATTAATTACTTTTAAATGTAAAACATGTAGGTCTTTCTGCTGCAAATGACATACATTAAAAATATGACCCGCTACAGTCAAAAGTTTAAAAAGACCAAAAATTCAGCTAGGTATGACTTTATGGTTAAAAGTAGATGGAAGAAAACCATGATCAAAACTACTCTGTCAAAACCAATCGGAACTAAAAAGACTCAGATAATAGTTGTTGGTTTTATTTGTTTGAAATAATTAATTATATAGGGTAGATACATATATTACTAAAATTGCAAGCAAGTACTTACTAAAGATTTCTATAATTGGTACCTATGTATAATAAACAACAATCTCACAGATGCACAGCATACAACTATACAAATGGAATTATAGAAATCATTTATTTTAAAAATAGGCATTCAGTTGCGATTTGTGATTACAACAAGAAAACTTTATCCACTTTTTCTGATCAGTAATGTTAGTGTTATAGTGAAAAAGTTTCTAGAAACTGGTGTTTTTAATCCTAATAAAGCATTGTGAATTTCCAAGAAAAGTGCATGATGAAAATTGTTTTGACCAAAATTTTGAATGTCATGCCATTTAAAAAGAAACCCTGTGGCAATTCGGCATTCCAACGACCTGTCCAAATGGCTACCAGTGGGGACTGACAGTTTAGATATGGCAACCCTGTTGTCATGTAGTCATTAACAGGGTCAATAGTTATATAGATTGCTCATAGCTGCTCGTTTGCGAGCGTCCATATTGCCTGGCAAATATTTATTAATTTGAATCGGTTTAGCAAAAATGTGTTTTAAAACCAATTGTTAGCTTTTAGATATTTAAAAAATAATAACTGCTTACATTTTTACTTCAAGGCATAAGCTTATGTTTATTTTGTAAAATATGGATGATCAATCTATGTAACTATCTATTTCATTGACCTTGTCAAATCACCAGGCCTACAGGGTTGCCATAATTTTTCCATATCATAATCTGTCAAAACCCACTGGTAGCCATTCAGTTTGGAATGCCTAATAGCCATTTTAATCTCAGATAAATAAATAAATAATAGATACAGCCCTATCATGCAATATTTGTAACCAGCATCTCCTCTCACTGTATAGCAGTGGTTACACGACTTGATTGGATATTCGCTATTTTGGTTACACACCTGATTGGTTAGCAAAAAATTGACAGGACTACGTTAGTTAGGTTAGTTATTTTATGGTTATTTTGTGGTTCATTTTGAGTTTATTTCGTACTTTAATTGAAACATTTTTGGGGTTTAAGTTATTTTACTGCATTTAATTGCTTAAAAATGCAAGTGAATTGTATTGTGTGCTCGAGAAAGTATCTCAAGTTCAGTTCGATAACGTTTCATAGGTAAGTAAATAAAAACCATTACCGTTGCATCACACTTTTTTGAGGGGTATCATAATTCAAAATAAGGTTTAAACAACAACAATTTATTTTAAAGTTTAAAATAACATTCAACGTCGAATTTCGAATTATTTTATTGTGCCTGTGTTTAATAACTTTGAATTTATTAATAGGCTATCTTTAAATTAAAGTTATATTGTTTTGCACACTGTACATTTAAGAAGACTCTAGTGGCATTTACTTTAGTTATAAAATCTGAGTATTGCTTTATTTTAATGACAAAATATATAGTTAGAACACCATATTTATTTTAAAGTATACTATGTTGCATTCTGTATTACATGAAATCCTATATACCTACCTATATGAATAAGAAAACACTATTTATACCTATTTAGGTTTCCAAAAGATCCTCAAACTAGATATATGTGGATGAAGAGTTTGGGTATACGTGAGGATGAAGAGTGTATTCAGTAGAATTTGTTCAAGACATTTTAAGGATTCTGCCTTTGCTAAGTCTCCAGGAGGAAAAATGTTTTTAATGAAAGGAGTAATGCCCTTATTTTACTCACATCCTGAAGCTGTTCCTCAACTGGAAACTATGTCACATTCTAAACCTTCTACATCTGAAACTAAGTATTTGAACAAAAACTATAAATATTCATGTTATTTTAATAACACAATAATATATGTAATTATTATATGTTTTCTTATTGTCTAAATTAAAATAGGTTTCATTTATCTCAAGTGAATGTATATTATATTCCCAGACAGCACACGACATCTTAAAGACGTCTGTTTTATGTCGTAGTTATAACTGAACGCCTAAAGACCTAAAAAAGACGTTGTAAAGACGTCTTTATAAAGACGTCTTTTAGGACACATAAACAGACGTCTTAAAGACTTCTTTTGAATGCCTATCTATTTAAAAAATATAAAAAATAATGGTAACTATAAAAAAAGTACTGGCTTACTTGTCTAATTTCACAAAATATAAATTTTTTTTATTAAATTACATAATTTACTTATTTTTTTTATTTATTCACGAGCATTTGTTCATTATTAGAGTAAGTAAATATTTGATAACATAAAAATAATAATAATAATAAATATAACTCTAAATAAAATTAACAATTAAAACATAAGCCAAATTGAATTACGCGCTCTTTCACCTTGGCCGGAACATGATTCAACGATCGAAGCGAATGTTTTTATTATGCTTTGTCTTTTTTCAACAGTAGAATTTAAACAAGGACGTGTATCTGAATGTGAGTATTATTGGGGTTCCGTGGTTCGTGGCGATCTGAGTTGTCCTTCGTTCTCATTTGTCATTGATGTTGAAGATGATGAAAGCCGAGAGGTTAATTCAGAGAGAAGACATTAATGTCTTGTCTCTGCTTATCTCGGGGTTACTTTTTGTTGGTTATTCGTTGATTTTTTATTTGTGTCTTGCGCCGTGGATTACTGTGAATTTATAAGCATAAAAGTTTACTGGATATACTGAAAAACCAAATAGAAGAACCCTTATTAGTGTTTTAAGTACGTCTAGGCGTCTAGAGCTAACTTAGAAGCTTCATCGGATGTAATTATATCTGAATTAAGAGTTGAAAGTACAGGAAGATTGCCATTCTTTAACCACCCTTAACCCACACTATCTACTGAAAATCCTATTAAAGCGAATTTGCATAATATTTTACACAGCGCAGTTAAAATTATTGCAACCCAGACTGACTCAGAAGAGCATCCGACAGAAGATTAACCACTAACGGAGGAAGAATAAAAAAAAATAATTTGTAATATTACTTTTTTTAATAATAATGTTTATAGAAAATATGTGTTTTATTTTGTATAGAAGGAATTTAGAGAAGCTTTTAAAACTAAATCCGAGAGTACGTCTTACCAATGTCGAAAACCAGACATATTCAAGATGTCTTAAAAACGTTACCTTTTGTAACATCAGACGTATTAAAGATGTCTTTAAGACGTCTGGCCGGCATCATAAGACGTCTTTTAGACGTCTGTCGTCTCTGAGAGACGTCTTTGTGCTGTCTGGGTTTACTTATTATTTAGTTACACGTCACATAATTAATTTAATTTGTAAATTGTGTAGTAGGAAAATAGTACTGACTTTTCTCGTTTAAACGTCCACGACGAGATTAAAAAATAATTGGGCACTATAAGAACCGATAATTGGATCAATCTCTTAAGGCTAAGATACGCTAAGATACTTCTGGGTGAATATAACCAGGAAAAATCGGAAGCCTGTGTGAGGTCTGTATAC